GAAGTTCAGTGCATATTCAGTAAGCCAACACACTGGCCACACGAACACATGTATGTGCCCTGTTGACTCTGGTGCCTGCAGTCATGACACTATGGCCGAAAAGACAGAAGGGTTATTGCTACACCCCTCTGGTAGGATACATGCCAGTTTGCCATCCTGAGAAAGGATGGTTGCAGGAATAGGTATGTTACCTGGTTTATGATACCCTACATTATCCACTAACACTGTTGGATCTGTAGGTTCTACATGTAACAGTATAGGGGAACTCATAATTGGCCATAGTGATAATACAAATGTGCCCTTTGGAATAGATCGCTTATCTGCTCCAGGCCATATTACCTTTACTTGGGGAGGCTCGTTACTTGTCACCCAAGGTGAAACTGGGCTGGCCCTGTAAGTCTTCTTCTAATCTTTTCCCCCAAGGACCTATTAGGCCTACCCAGTGTATATTGTACAGGGGGACTTCTATTCTCCAGGGCCATTCCCATTGTACTGTCTGTCCCTGTTGCAAAGAGGTTGGGGCCGGTAAGAGAATATTTCCGTTCTTGCCATATCCTGGCTTCAAAAGCTTATCTTTAGTAGTAACTTGCAGTTGTATAGGTGCTGCAGCCCTATGCAACAGAGCTTCCACTAGAGAGGGCCCGCCCTTGAAGGGTCCCTCATTTAGAATTCTGACTGTCAGCCATAACCACTGTGTCCACCCCTTCAGGGATGGGGGTTGGGCAGATAGCCTTAGCCCCTTTTTGAAAAGACCATTGTATTGCCCAATCATCCCTGCTGCCTGGGGATGATATGGCACATGTAACTTCCACTGAATAGACAACTGGGAAGCCCACTTTTGTACCTCATGTCCAGTAAAGTGGGTTCCGTTGTCACAAACCTACAGGTGTTCAGAATCGGTCTTGTCTCTGCCAAAAACCCATCCTAAGCCCTCTTGGGTTATATTTACATCTTATTCAAAAGGCTTAGTGGGATCAGAACTCAAAAGGCTTAGTGGGGTTGGCCACTTGTAAAGCCTGTACTTGCTGTGTTGCCCTTTTTGTAGCCTGGTAAGCCTGTTCTACTTCCTCAGTCCAGTCCTAGGGGGCTCCTTTCTTTGTTAATGCATATAGTGGGCATGCCATTAGAGCCATATGGGGTACAAAAGCTCTCCGATACCCCAGAAGTCCCAAATATGTCTGTAACTGAGCTACAGTTCTGGGTCGAGGGTATGCCTGTATCTTGCCTATATAATAGCTTCTGGGATGACTCTCGTCTTACCTGACCAGACCACTCCTAAGAATTTGACTGACATCCCAGCTCCTTGCACTTTGGCTGTGTTCACAGCCCACCCACATTGTTCCGAATGGTTTAGCAGTGTTGGAGCTGCCTGGGTTAAATCTGTAAGAGAATCAGAGGTTAACAACATGTCATCAATGTAGTGAAACATTATAACTGTGCTGGGCCTAGTCCATTTGGTTAGGTCCCCAGCCACTAAACCATAACAGATGGTTGGGCTATGCAGATAACCTTGGGGCAATAATGGAAAGGTCCACTGCTTCCCTTCCCAGGTGAAGGCAAACTGATCTTGGCTATCAGCCAAGATTGGAATAGAGAAGAAAGCATTTGCAAGGTCCAAAACATAATGATATGTTCCCAGCTGAGTCGTCAGCTGATCCATCAAGTTGTGAACTGAAGGCACAGCTGCATTCAAAGGAGGCACTACTTTGTTTAGTTCTTGATAATCTACAGTCATTCTCCAGGTATCATCAGGTTTTTTCGCTGGCCATACCAGAGCATTAAATGGGCTATGAGCCAGATGAATAATGCCAACTTTCTCTAACTCCAATATAGTGGCACCTATCTCTGCCTGTCCTCCTGGTAGGCGATATTGCTTTACATTAAGTACACGTCTTGGCTTGGGTAACACCTGCAGGTCATGTTTAGCATATCCCTGTAACACAGGCTTTATTGTCCGTATTCGCAGCCGAAACTCTCCAACTGTTGTTTGCAGGTGCAAGCCATAAAGTACGTCTGTACCCAAGATGTATTCAGCTACTGGGGATATATATACAGTATACACATGAAGGGACAATCATCCTATGCTCAATGGCAGTGACACAGCTTTGACTTCAATAGTATGTCCTCCATGTCCATCTATACGAACTGTGGCCCCTGAAAACTTATCTGGATTGCCATATATCAGGCTACGTTCTGCACCTGTATCCACCAATCCCAAAACATGCTGTACATTTGTTCTTGACCAATGTATTGCCAATTCAACGTGAGGCCTCCGGTCCTCACTCACCCCCAAAAGATGAGTACCTTGGCCTGCTCCCTAATTGAAATGGAACATTTCATCTGCCTCCTCGGGAGCAATCAAAAATTCTTTAAATCCACCAAGCTTACTCTGCTGTTTCCAGATGTTTCGTGAAACACTGTTCAGGGCATAATTGCTGCCACAAGGCAAACAGGACCACATTTGGCTGCTGGTCAGTTTTCGTGCCATCAACCCCTGCTGCAATCAAGTCAAGCCACATCTGCTTACGGCTAGTCTTGTTTGGTGTCCTCAGGATAAAATCCTGAGCAATTCTTGGGGGTTGGCTCTTAGCCATCTTTCAGACCCCTTTTTCTTATAAGTCAAGCCACATCTGCTTACGGCTAGTCTTGTTTGGTGTCCTCAGGATAAAATCCTGAGCATTTCTTGGGGGTTGGCTCTTAGCCATCTTTCAGACCCCTTTTTCTTATATCTTTTCCTCAACTTCACCCAGGCTGGCTATCATGGTCATTACTTCATATGTAGGACAACCAATTTATGGGGACAGTATGCCCCTCAGTGACCCACAGGATGTTGATGGGGAATTTTGCAGCACTATATCTCATGCTGCTTGTAAAACTTTCATTGTCTGGGCTACGGGTGTTTACATTAATTATGGACTGCCGCATCCTCAGCTCCCAAGTTATTTGAACCAACTCAGAATACGTTTGCCATTTATTCACAATCTTGGGCAGTTCTCCAATATTTGCCCACATGGTTTGGGCAGCAGCATTCACCCATTCCATTAAGGAGTGCTTACCTGGCCCTTGTGCATATCTGCAGCTATTCTGTAGCCACTGCCTCAGGGACAGGTGCATGGTAATGGAGGCCAACTTTTCCATATCACACTATCCACCCCTAGGTCCCATTACCTAAGCAGCCAAGCAGCCAGGGACTCCTCCTGTTTCTGCTGGAACTGTCTCCCAAAGTCAACTAATTCAGCCCGGGTATATGGGACATGGGTAGTGAATTGAGTCACCTGTGGATCGCCTGCTGGTATTCCACCTGGTCCCATAGCCTGCTCATGCTTCAGTTTCTGGTGCATGTAAGGTCGTGCCTGGAGATACCTGGTCTCCCCCAACTCACCACTGGGTTTGTTGTTCTACCTGGTGTGAGAGGCAGGGGTGGCTAGTTGCTACACGTCATCCTCCAGAACAATTATCCGTGCTTCCAACAACTCTGCTTTTTTAAATCTCGATCAGTTTGCAGCATAGTGAGCAGTAGCCAGGCTCTGGTCAGCAGAAAAGTGGTTACTGGCACCACATACTCAAGGATAGCAACATTTCCTCCCCCTCCCAAGGGGCTCTCTGCTGCATATTTCTAAGCCGCACTGCTTCATGGAGTGCCCGGTCTATGCTGACTTGCAGTATAGTGAGCAGCAGCCAGACCCCAGTCAACAGGAACGTGGCCATAGGGCACAACATATTCAGAAGTAGCCACATTTCCTCCTCCTCTTTTTTTTTTTTTTTTTTTTTTTTTTTTGACTTGGTGTTGTCAGCACCACGCTCAGCCAGCAAGCGAACTGGCCATCCCTATATGGGATCCGAACCCGGGGCCTTGGTGTTATCAGCACCGCACTCTCCCGAGTGAGCCACGGGCCGGCCCACATTTCCTCCTTCTCCCAAGGAGCTTTTGGCTCCTGTACTTGCTCAGTATCTTGCTGACTACACCAATGGTAAAGCTACGGCTAGGGCTCTCAGACTAGCTCACAAACCCTCCACACGCAGGTCTACGAGCTAGGTAATAGGAAAAGGTCCTGAGAGTCATGGGTAAAAAATTAATAGGCTTTATTCAGAGCTAGAAGCAGCTATTCTAGCGGCTTCTCAGCATTCTGAGAAGCACTGTGTATCAGAGCTGTTAGTCCTTTATACTTAGGTCCATAACCCAGGACACCTGGGTGCCCATATGCAATTACATTAAGTAGTAACCAAGGAACACCTGAGGATATTTACAGCAAAAGCTTGGCAAGACTCTGAACATCTGAGGGATCCTGACCATTTTCCTATGTTTTCCCTACCATTCAGGAGTTCTAAACTTATTTTTGTTTTTTTCATTTCATATTAAGCTTACTCCTAGGAGTTTTATCTTTATTGTTGCTTACCAAATATTTTATGATTTTACTTCCCATGAAGACCTGCCTTTAGGGAAAAGATATCCTTAATTATGCAAAGGGTACTCTAGTTTGAATGTCAGCTTAATTCTCACTGTAAATTAACACATTGACATTCTGGTTTTATTCATCATTCTATGTGAGCAGTTACAATAATCCACAGTAACAGATGGATCCCATCTTCGCATAATAGTAAATCAGGTTTTGGAGGCTTTGAGGCTGAAAGACAGATCCTAGATCTTGGAAAATTCACCCTTGTATCTACTAGTGTATGTTGCCTGACAGGGTGGCCTAGTGGTAGGCCATCCAGATGATCTCTCCCTACAAGACTACAATCATTTATGTGCCTTTATTTAAAAAATCAATAGCTCACTTACTAAAAATTAACTATTTTGATTGAGGGACTTTAAGAAGGCCTGTAACACATGGTAATTATAAATTAATGGCAGTCTCTTCAGCTGTTACTGATGTTTTTGCACCTACTTATGAGTAAAAGGGCCCAATCCATACCCTAATGATGTACTTTAGAAAATTACTAAGTAACTATATTTAGTCAAATCTTTAATGAAAGTTTTAAATTCTTATATATTACAGAATTTCACAAATTTGTTTGGACAGCCACTAGTCTGCTTGCTTTCTCCTACAGCATATCCAAAAGCTTTACAAGGTATGTTCTCTCATTATCTGTTATACCCAGAGGTTGCAAATAAACATATTTACATTTTGAATAATATTGATCTTTGTTTTTCCCTCCCATAATGATCATGCGTGTATTTATGGTGTTTAATGTGGCAGGTACCAATCTGAAATATACCCAGAAGCCTTGCCAGCAACCAGACTTCCTTAATGTGCTACCGTTAGGACTTGAGATAATTCATCTCTGAGAAAGAGGTGTTTTGGCCCTTGTTTTGGAGAACTCATAAGTTGTAAACTTTAAATTTTGTTTTACAGGTATTTGTTTTGATTTGCTTGACATATCCATATAGCATTATTTCCTCTATCTTTGGTTACATTATGTTAGGAATCTTTTAAGACCATAAAATTGCTAATCTAGGAAATTCCTCAGACTATGCCTAACAGTTAGAATAACCTAGCTGGCACAACTTAAAGGGTGTCTTTTATTTGCATTTTTACCTTGTACTTTTTAAATAAAAGAACCTTTTCTAAGTCTGCCAGAGAGACAGGTTAGTATTTTGGCCATTTTTCAGTGGCTAAGAATTGAAAGACTTTTTATGTTTAATGATTTGTGCTTAATAGGTAACACATAAAATTTAATTCTAACTCCCAGTCATTTAGTAGGTAAAATAGTAAAGAAACCTTACCACTGTTTTAGCAGTACTTGTCACTCTTTCACTATCTCCCTAACTGTGAATAGTGCTGATGTCTCTCTGTGGGAGATGGCATTTTACTGCTACTTCCCAGCCAGAAGTCCTGTCTGCTGACATAGTTTGACACAGGAAGTGATGGTCAGCATTTGAATGCCTGAGAGAAGCTGGAAACTTTCACCGTTGTTTTAAGGTAAGTTCTGCTGTTTAACAGGGAAGAACATGTAGAAATATTAAGTTCATGTATCCAAAAGTAAAATTACTAAGGGATAGAACTTACCTTCAAACAACGGTAAAATTCTCCTGCTTTGAGGATTTTGTTACCCAGTTTCTTATCATTCCTGGAAGAATCTAACCCCTTCCAATTACTTGAGAGTACTTTTTGGTATCAGTTTGTTCTATTATGATGTAGTCTTATTTAAAAGTGCATGGTCAAATGAGCTAATACCAAGATTATTTGGTCTGAAAGACTTTATTGCGTAGAGGAGAAAAGCACAGACTTGAAGACAAATTGACTGAGTTTGAATCCTGAATAGCTGTGTGACCATGGCAAGTTATTAAGCCATTCTGTGCCTCAGTTTCTTCATCTATCAAATGAAAGTTATAATATCCGTCTCATAGAGTAACTCTGGGTATATAGTAAGTACTCAATATGTACTATCATTATTATTAATATGCTTAGTTGTAATACCTGTCCTTAACATTTTTCAGTCCAATATCCTATCTCAGTGCTATAAAGCTTAGACTTCTAAAAGCTTAAATGAATTGTTAAGTTACATAAGGTGATTCAAAATTCTTTTGTGGGAAACATTTTGGATTTATCCATAGGCATTATTGCTACTCACATCTACAAAAGGGGTTGGCCCTCCATCTGGGCACAGAGCTAGCAGATATGTAAGTAATTGGAATGTCAGATAATGTGCCAGTACTTCTAGCATCTAAATCCTGTAGTTCTCTCTTTAGCCAAGAGTTACTTCATGAATTCAACAAACATTTATTCAGCATTTATGTTATCAGGTATTGTGCTAAGCACTGGAGATAGCACTTTGACCTGACAAACACAGTTTTTTCTCACAGATCAAATGTCTAGTAGAAGTCATGACAGCATAGCAGGCCGTTACTATAAAGTGCTATAAGTATTTCATAGGGGGTGGCACAGGAACATGTACGAGGAACTTCTAATCGGCACATGACGGTAAAGGAAGGGGATGAGATGGTATCTACAGTGGACTTCAAGGACAGGTAGAATTAGATGGGAGTGGGGATGACTCTATAAGTATTTCATAGGGGGTGGCACAGGAACATGTACGAGGAACTTCTAATCGGCACATGTGTGTAAAGGAAGGGGATGAGATGGTATCTACAGTGGACTTCAAGGACAGGTAGAATTAGATGGGAGTGGGGATGACCGAAGAAGAGTGTTGCAGCAGAGCAATTGCACGTGGGATGACCCTGCGATAAGAGTATTTGTGGGATACTTAGAGAAATTAAAGTGGTTCCTTCTAGCTAAAAGGTAGAGTTTGGGATTGTGTGACTGATGGAGGACAATGGAGTACCATCAAAAGATTTCCAACAGAGGAGTGAGTAGCATGAAAAAGCATTCAGTTAACCTCATGGAGAATGAATTGGAGAGGGGCATTGACAGAAATAGGGAGATGGTGGTGGCGATAGCTAGGACAATGACTGGGTAGCTGGCTTCAAAAGATACTAAACCCAGAGAACCAACAAGACTTGGTGATGGACCGGGTGTGGGAAGAAAGGAGAGGAAGGAAGCAGGAATGGACTTTCAGGTTTCTGG